TCTACTTCTAAATACGATGCACAGTTTTCCTACCCTAGTAGCAATAAAGCTAATAATAGTAGCAATAATATTGTTGGCATTTTGATGGGCCAGTGACGTGGTATCGATTGGCCAACGGTTAAGATTGTCGCCCTTTTCTTCAACTGAGCCAAAGATCACACCCAATGTAGGCCCCACGTTACTTTCAATATAAAGAGCCAACTGAAAATTTCTTCCCGTAGGGCCAACTCTTGATTACGTACAATAAACCAACAGTAGGCAGACTATTGGCTCTACTACGCTTCAATAAAACAGCTTTCAGAATGTTTCTTGGAGATTATTTCTTTTACATATGGGATTTATATCTTAATTGAATAATAAAATTGAAATAAAAACCAATTTGTATATTTGAAAAATATTTTATTTGAAATTTTGTAATGTTAGTCTTTTATTCAATTTTTGGATGTGTAACGTTCATTAACTGCCATTATTCCCCCTTGTGAAGCTTTATTAAATTTTGCCATTAATTTATATGGAGGCCACATCCATTCTTTTTTTAAAGACGTAAGCTACTCCGATCGTACAACACCAACACTTCCATTGTCACCATCTTGAGTTGCTTCAAATTCAATTACTTTGTACATTATGTAAAAATAAAATAGAAAAAATATTATATACGAAGCGCGTCTAATCGTGATAAATGCACGCGTTCAACTGCATTAGTGCCTCGTCTCTTCCTACCGTCGCCTTCGTCGATCAGTTTTTTGTTTTATAACCGTCGTTGTTAAGAACAAAAATTCACATGAACTAAAAATGTATATTAAATAGAACGCAATAAAACAATACGCATTCCTGTTGTACGAATGGATCTTTCACTTTCCATATTAAATTACTACTTACCTGCTTTACATTAGAACGGATCACCAAACGGACTGCAAGACGCCGTGCAACTGCACACAGTATACATTTCACAAGAAACAGTCATTTCACCTTTAACTCGAAAGATAAAACACTCGCGTTGCGAATTATATTCGTAATTCATTGGCTTTGACTGGCTTCACGCACGTCATTTTCAATCATTATTTGTGCTTTATTGTAAATGTCAATGCGTAACATAAAATAAAGTAATGGATAATAAGAATTAACTGTCTGATGACAACGGCGGCCGCCCAGCATCACATCGATTAAAAATTAAAAGAAACAAGAGTTGAAAGACTCGCCCCGTCGTTGTGCCGGCAACAAAGCTTTTCATTTGTTTTCATTTTTGCTTTTAGTTGATACGACGTAGTATTATTGTTGTAACGTTCTTGCTAGTGTTGCAAGTTTCTTGTTAATTAACCAACTATAGTAATTGTTAGCCCAACATTGGGTATTTGTAGAAAAATTGTCATAATCCTTTTAACGTAGGCCCTTATTTGGGCATTTGTAGGCAAAAGCACTAACTATATCCCAACTGATTCCCAACTATTGGAAACCGTGGGCCAACCATAAATGCTACTAGGGTAATTCTTTATTAGAATATGTACGAAGTTGTTATATATATTTATATATGTTATATGTATAGCTTCAATTAGATTTCAATGATTCGTATCAACAGTCAAGTCTTCTCGTAAGTCTTTGCATATTTAATTATGCGAAATTTTGATTCAAAGATTTTGTATCAAAAGAATTGAACTTGAATTTTGTTGTCAGGATATATTTAAAAATGGATAAGATACAGTAAATCTCCAGGAACGTTTTTTTCAATATACACGATAATTTGAGAACGTTTCATTTGAAACATACCAAACAAATTATTCTGTTATAACTCATCAACATCTGCTGAATGGACAAAGGATTTTTTGAAATTTTGATATTCACCAAAATAGTAGTAGTTTAACTGAAAAACTTCATTTTTCAACGTTCGAAATTTTGCTTTTCCCTTAATAAAATATCATTATGTAGATGCCTCTAATAGAATATCTTGTTTGATACGTTGAGATGAAACGTTCTCAAATTTCGTGTACACCGAAAAAGGGAAAGACGTTCCTGGAGATCTACTGTATCTTAGTCATTCTTAAATACATCATAATAAATCAATTTATATGGTAAGTTCAATACTTATACTCTATAATTATGTTTAAAATCTTCAAAAAAATCTTGAATTTTGGCTACGACAACTGCGTATATTCCCTTAGAGCGAATAAAATAATTTAGTGTCCGATAAATAAAATAATTTATTGTACAAGAAGATGACCACTCTGTGGATAATTGATATCTTTTATGTATCGGTACTAATTTTTCATCAATACATTTTATTCAAAGAAACATACAAAATCATAGAAAAGAGTGCTTGTTTGTAATGGGATCGATTAAACACGATTCAACATAAAATTATGAACTTTTAGAAATATCTTCCAAAGGAATCTAAGCACGATTTAGTAAAGGTTTAATATCGAAATTCCAACTATATTCTACATAATTAATTAAAATTTCCAAAGAAACATGTAATATTTGACAAATTTTCCGCTCGACTCTGCATAGCTTATATTATCCAAGTACAATGAATGTTATAATAGTATATGTAGCGTCGGAACTGAAGTTATTTCTTGAGTTATGGCGTATTGAGTTATTTCGTGATTCAGATAATAAAATGCAAATAAACATGCTAGTAAATAAAAAAACAACAATATTTGGGGGTAAACCCCGAGGAAAAAAGACCTTGCGGTCAAAAAGCTCGTAAAATATGTTTTACATTAAAGAATACATGCATGCATATGAGTGCGTAAATTGTGTATTTATGTATGTGTGCCAGAATGACTGCGTATGGCACAATCATTCTACGGATCATGCATGATCGCTATAACTCGGATGAGTCGTCATCGGCAATACCGATTAACGGTAGCGTTTATAATTTAGATAATTTTATGTTATGCGTTATTGTTTTGTGGTAATTGCGTACCTTTAATATAGCAAGATTGCGGATACAATGGAGACGATGCGTCGTGGATGATGTTTTCCATACAATTGAACGAGACTCGGTTTCTTTTTACAAATTTCATGTTAAACCTCTTTTTTTTTTTGTTTAACGCCGACAACGCATCGTGGTCGGCGACGTTGATTACTTCAGACATGTATAGTATTTGTCTGAGAAGTTTGTCACGACCAAACTAGTCGCGCGATATTCAAACAATTGGATCTGTTTCGATCCAACAGTATATAATCTATAACAATAACAGAATGGAATAAATATAATAATATTTTAAAAGGTCCTGCACAAATTTGAGTAAACATTTGTTTCCAAAACTTCCCTCATTGTCAGTATCTACAAAATTCGACTAAATCATATCCGATACGCAACCCCTTTTATTCAAGTGTTCTATGAAAAAAGTAACCGTTCAGCAACATGCTTCCGTAATTGGTAACAAATTGTACTCCCGCGTGGAGCACAGCTCACTCGGCTAATCGCTAATAACATCACGTTGATGGCGGAGTTTAACCAGAAACAGATAAACAACATTCCATGAGGAAGATAAACGCAAATAATTATACGACCTCGTTACTAAGAGCTATTTTCCATATTACGCGAACCTAATCTGAGAAATTCCTTGTCGACGAAACAGTTGCAGCGTTTGTGACGTTCAAATTTATCGCCATATTAAGTGGTCTACCGGTTCGCGGTATTGTAAATGCAACTTTCATCGGAAGTAGACCATCCAGAAATTCCCGGTGTTGCGCAACGACGGTGCAGGATTACTCATTTAAATTCTACTCGAACCTCGTCAACAATCTGTCTCGCATGATGCAGAGCACTATCGACCTTTCTACTCTCCTCGCGAAGTTGTCGGGCTCCCAGCCTTTTGTATCTCTTATTTGCATCGTCGCGGAGAAACTTTCCAAGTTCCACGGCACCGGAACCACCCATCGCGATCGAAAGTTTCTTGTGCCAAGACCGTCGCTGGTTCTGAAAAATCTTTCCAACGGTACTGGTGTCGTAATGCTCCCGTGCAGCATTCAGAGACATGCAACGACAAAGTCAATGAGACTACGTGCGTACCAGTTACCGCATTTCCTAGGTCGTGCAAGGATCATTTATGCGCCGCGATAAATGCATACCGCTTTTCACGCGCGTCTTGGCTCAGTCGACTTCCGCACTGTCCACGTGCCGATTGAATTGAGCCGTACACTATTTGTATATAAATGGGTTGTTCCTCTTTTAGAACAAGATGACAATACCATACTATTTGGTTGACCCAATAATTATTTGCTGTATTTCAATTAGATGAGAAAAAAAAACAAATTTATTGATAGAAGGAATTCACGAAATGACTTATCACCATCGTCTTGCAGAATATTTCTAGGATTACAATTCTTATTAGACAAATAATATAACGATCTGCCGATGATGTAGAAGTAGCTGAGATTGTAATTTTAGAATATCGTTCCTCTTATGCTAAGACTATGAATGTGTGATTCAATAAATTCTCGAAGTCGAAGTTCTGGCATTGCTACACTGATCTATAACTCACACTCATAAATCGAGCTTAAAGTAGGTATAATTGCACGTGTTATCTGACGTGTAGATTTTTCATTTCTGCATAAAGATAAGAATACAAAAAAACATTCAACAATCCAAAACACATATGCATTTACTCAAAAAAGGGAAAATCCTATATTTCCAGTATATGTATACAAAACATAACATACATTAAAAATGTCTAATTAATTTAAGGACATGATTAGTAATTAAGTATACACCTAATTAAATTATTTACAATACAACAATAGGTTGTCTGCGAAAATAAGGAAAGCAATGATCAGATCTTTGTATTTATCACATACACGAACAATACATATCATCTTGAACATGGAGATTGAAATCACATTGTAAAGTATACTAATATACCAGCCGGATCAACAGCTGTTATTAATGTAAATTAATGTGGAGAGATCGCGTTAGTAGAATCGCAGATTTCAATATCCGACATGACACTACCTTATAACATAAATATTAATGTTATTAAAAACTTTATTTTAAAATCAAAAGTGAATTAAAGCTATTTATTACGATGTCTGTATATACAAATAATTGTTATCATTAATACAATAATACATTATTACTTATTTAAGAATCTCGATACATCATACTATAACACTGTACAATTTATTTATCCTATTTCACATATTACATAGATGACTTCAGATTCAAGCAGTACAATTATGTCTTTGATATTCAAATTGTATTAGTCAGAATGTGTACTAATAATTGCACTTGTTAGCTTGTCTTTTTTTATCATACTTGAGTTATCAATATTTGCATTATCACCTAAATCAGTTTCTTTGTTAACATTGTGCTCCTCAGAATGTACAATTGATGTAGAACTACTTTCAATTACTGAACTCGTGTCAGTACATGTAATGGAAAATGCATCTTTATCTTTTAATATGCTAGAATCAGTATTATTATCGGTAGTACCGAGACTTGTAGCAGTAGTTTGTTTTAAAGCTAGATACTCGTTAACCGAACCTAATGGATCTTTCTTCATACCTATCTTAGTTCCCGTTTCTATTATGGGAGACGATGATAGAGAATTTGTATTTGGAGATGTACTAAGCTTAGAAAGTCTTTGACGTTCCCTCAAACGTTTACGAATTTCTGACTGTATCTTGGATTCTTTTATCACATTTTGAACATCATCTGTTTGATAGTATCGACTTGCCCAAGTTTCAGGTCCATTTGTTTTTTGAGTAGAACACATTCCTGCTTGAAATTTGGAATCACCACTTTTGGTAGTTACTTTATTTTTATTTTTATCATTTTCACTGCTTTCTATATCATCCATGTCATCGCAGTAATTATCTAAGTCAATTATTTCATCTAAGTCGATGGACTTCTCCTCATCTAATAATATTTTTTTCTGTATATTTATTGCTTCTCCAGAATTTTTATTTTTTGTTGAATTATTGTATATTACTGTTGATTTAATATCATTTTCTTGTTCATTTCCATTTAATTTTATATTTTCAGGTACATCATCTACTGACAAACACTTATCTTTCTTTACACTCTTTGTATGTTGACTTTCACTGCGTGATTTTTCTTTCTGCATATCTATTTTAGAACTAGCATTTTTTGATTCTTCCTTAGTATGTAATTTTTTCTTCATTTTCCGTCTCTTTCCATTAGATTTCGACTGAGTATCATTATTAGCTATATTATTGCTATGAACTCGTTTAGAAATGTCAGTCTTAAGTGTATCTAATTCTTTATGACTTTCTGTTCCATTTTTAGACACTTCATTTTCTTTCAACTTTTCTATGCTATTTACATTATGTATATTGTTAGTATCTTCATTCTTAGCACCCTCAATATTGTCCTTTGTGTTCATAACACGTTCGTTCTCCAATTTTTTATTAATACGTACACCACCATGAGACTCTCCGTCACTTTCACTAGACAATAATTCAATAGTCGGAGTTGGTTGAACCACTAAAACTACATCTTCATCCTCAGCAGTACTACTCTGTTGAGCACTAATAATCCTTTCCAACTGTCTTCGACAATTTTCTTTTTCTTTCATTTCTTCTTGTTCAGCTTTAGATACAGCAGTACCAGTTGCAGCATTGTCACTTCCTTTAGATTTAGATGCATTTGGTATTATGTCTTCCTCTTTCCTTATTAAGGCTCGTATTGCTCTTGCACGCATTTCTAATTCTAACAAATCTAACAAACTATCACCTTCCTTTTCTTTACTTATTTCTGCCTGTTCCTCTTTCTTTATTTGTATATTTTTATAAATATTATCAGGAACCTTTTTATGATTAAGTTTACTATCGCTCCTTTTATGTAGAGATTTTCCTTTTTGTTTAACTTTATCCTTTTTTACCTTTGCTTTAAGAGATTGCATACCTTCTTCCTGTTTTATTATATCCTCATCAGTAAACCATTCCTCAGTGTCAGAGATGATTTCAAGAGAAGGTCCTATTACCATAAAAATATATTATATACAACACTTAAATCTTTACACTTTTGTCTACGATATATATGCTAGTTTTTCTACATACCTGAATCATCTGACTCAGTTGTATCAGATGATTCTACCATGGCTTTCCCCTTTAAGATACACAATATACGTGCCTTTGACATACCACTTAATTCATTAGCACACCATTCCTCTAACTGCTCAAAATCCATTTTCTATAATAAAGTAGTATAACAAAATTCTAATAAACTTTTGAGAGTTAATACTTAAGATACAAAGAGATAATCTAAGAACAATCTTTATACAAACATAGCTTAATGCATTATGTTTTATTACAGAAAAAGCAAACAAAATTTTATTTAGCGCATTATGTTAATAAACTTACTCTTAAAACTTGGGGTAACATCATTTGTATTTTATCTGCTTTAACAGACTTAAACAGTTGACGAGCTAATTCTCGACGATTTGACAAATAGTCTCTAATTGGTTTTAAATCTTGTGCATCTATTTCGTCCCCTGACGATGGGGAGGTAGATGTATCGGATGAACTACTGACATTCTATAATTTTATTTTATCTCATTACAATAATTTATTAGATACACTTTTTCGTAAGTATAAAAATAATATTTTGAAACAATTTATTTTCCAGAAGGATATTGCACAGATATTGTTCATTTATAGACTAAAGATAAAATATAGTACGAAAAAGGTTAATTACCTCACTATGTGCTATCTTCTTTACTTTAGACATGTTGTCAATGAAATATTTCAAATACAACAAATTTGTGTGAACTACCTTTAATTCGATTAACTTCCACTACATTTAAGGAACATTTCCAATTACTTATTTACCCCACAATTCTATGTTATTGTAAACATCAAATAATGAAAACATCACGTGACTACGCGAGTACACGGTCACTGCCTTAACCACTCAGCTACGCACGAATTTTGTTATCGATAAAATAGAAATATCCTTCACAGTAAATATCAACAAAATTGTAATCACAGACGAGGTAAAAAATAGATTTTACCTCTATTTTTTATTGTTATCATTAATAGAGCAGAACTCTTCTTTTATTTTGAATTCGTAACATGAAAAGTGACACGATATTGATAAGGGAACTCACAAATCCCTTTACTTTTTCCTGATTGATTACATTTTTTTACGTATCCTACATGTCCGTCTTTCGATACTCAATGAATCACAAAGATTACAAAGATTTGTCCAATGTAAAAATTTTTACTTTAGTACAAATACAATTGTTCAATATATTAGCAACAATGGAATGAAATGGTTCTTAGAATTACTGTCTCTGAGTAAATAATTCACTTCAAAATCATTAATTTCTCACGAAGTCGGTAAGTTAGTCCACGGGATACAGACTTAAATGACCGATCTATCCTAGACCTTGTCGGTGTAATAATACATAGTCACTTCATAATCAGAATAAAAATTAGTAGTTATCAATTTTATGTAAAACCAAAATAGTTGCGTAACAAGAACGTATAAAATGAAAGTAAAAAATTATACAAAACTATTAAGAACATTTTAATGATAGAAAGACATGCAAAAAATTTTCCATTACTTAAATTGCTTAACTTACAAAATAATTAAAAATTTATTGCAATTAAACTTGTTTTTGAAAAGTAAATGTCAAAATAGGAAACGGTTCGAGTGATTAGGTGTCGACAGTAATGGTGTCGCTATGTAAAGCTGCTACCTGCTACTCGTGTCAGGATATAACCTCTGTCACTGTTGACAATTATTTGTCAACAAACTATTATTAATCAAAGAAATTACAAATCTATAAACAATTCGATGTTTAATGATTCCTATTTTTTAACATAGTGTTGACGAGTTTATATGAATATTGTTTTTAGTGCGAAATTAATTTTGTGAGTTAGAACTGACAGATGACAGATAATCAAATCAGCAATTACAACTTTATTATACTTTTTCGCTAATGTTACCATACATATACGCCAATGATTATACTCTAATACGAAATAAAACATAATTGAAATGCTGTTGCCAAAAATGTTATTTTACTTTTAAGATATATGTTATGACAGAATGTATTAAATTTGTCATATACCACATTTGTTATTTTTGTGTTCATAAATAGCGACAAAACATGCTAAACAGATTTAAATCAGCATTGATGAATGCTGTAGGTGCTACTGAACTTGGCCTACAGTATCCTAACGATTCAGACAATGACGCATTAACAGATTATATCAATTCAAACTTTATCGCAAAAGTAGAAAATAAACCGTATAGTCGACCTAGTTTCCTAGGATTAACTACAGAAGAAACTGAAGTACGTGCATTAATATATAATAGATATTATTGTTGACAATTGATATTATTTCATTCAAGCTGCTCATACACCTAGCAATAACAGCAACATGATCTAAAATAATGATTAATTAAAAATTGACTATACATAAATTGGTAGAAAGATATTTCAGAGTATTATCTAGTATGCAGACCTTTTGTGCTAGGTCTATTCATCAGAATAATTAACACTATCTTTGTTTTTTATGACTAAGTGATAACCATAAATAGTGTCACCTATTGACCAATGCCATTTTGTTACACACTCTTCTACTTTGTCTCATTCTTTAAACACAACTACTAAGCCACAGGTACACATAGCTGCGTCACTAACAATAAGTCGGACTTCCATTGAAGTATGGAAGGAATGAAGACTTGTGTATCCACTTCTGGAATTTCTTTCTTTTACCCAACTTTATGTATATTAAAATTTTACATTATATTACACATCTAATTTTGTTATCATCTTATAGTTATATTGCTGAGGTGAATGAATGATGTAAAATAATCAAAATATATTTAGTGTGAATATGATCGATAGGTAAGTGCTGATCATAGAGTCAGACCAATTATAGTTCCAAGAGATTTAAGTCGGTTGCCATGGTGTGCTGGTTATGCAGAATGTATAAATGCTGGGAAAAGTACATGGAACGAGGATCAAGCCTCTGCAACCAGAGGAGATCTCAAACTATCAGATGTTAATATCACATTGCCTTATATTATGTTTTCCATGTTTGATGGACATGCTGGATACCAAGTTGCTTTAACGGCAAGATTACACTTACATAGGATAATTCTTGTAAGAGTAACAAAAAGTTTTGTGTACCATTGTATGTATTTTATGCTCGTAAATCATGTTCTTAAGTGTATGTAATTGTTTCTAGGAAAGGTTAATGGCAATACCTGGAAACATACTACTAAATGAAGATGAAGATGAACTAATAAAAGGACGAGATTTAATTATCGGTGCTATTGAGTTAGCATATAGACAAATGGATCAAATGGTAGAAGCTCAAGCTCAAGGTGGAGGTGGTGGTTGCACAGCCATCACTATTTTATTTCTCAATGGAAGATTGTATGCTGCAGGTGCTGGAGATTCAAGGTAAACTCATAAAATTTGGATGCCTAACATAGATAACAAAGAGCATGTAATATAAATAATAAAGACCTGAATAACTTATAACAAATAATTAATGAATAGAGCTGTACTTGTTCTGGGAGAACATCAGTGTGCATTGACAAGAGATCACACTCCTGATTCAGAATCAAATCGTGTTCGAGCATTAGGTTTCTTAAGTAACGAATTATTGAAAGGACATTTCACACCACTGGAGTTTCGAAAACGACCTATGCAAAAGGAATTGGGTTCCACAGTTCTGTACAGAGAACCTTACATGACGGGTTGGGCATACAAAGTATTAACTGATTCTGATTTAAAATTGCCTCTCATCTCTGGACATGGCAAAAGGGTAACTAATTTTCATATACAAAAAAACAATGATAGTTCTTACAATAGACATTTAAAGCAATTTTGATATTTAGATGTATAACATCTAGGAAAAGTTAACAATTCTCATTCTACTAAAAAAAGGAAAAAATTAATAAGAAAGGAGTACCTTATCTTAGATGTTATATGTTTAGTTTAAAACCAACATGTAATTATGTAATCTTCATTTGATATATAGAGTCGCGTTATGGGTACTATAGGAGTGACACGTGGTTTTGGGGATCATGGTTTAAAAGCAGCTAATACAGGAGTTAATATAAAACCATTTTTATCGTCACAACCTGAAGTGCAGTCCATACATTTAGACAGTTGTAATCTCACAGAACGTGATTGTATTATTGTAGCTACAGATGGACTTTGGGATGTTGTATCTGACAAGACAGCAGCAAATATACTTAGAAAGACGCTTGCTCCTGACACACCTTCGTTAGAGTACAGGTACTGTCTCTTAGAAATTAAAATGTATATTTTAAAAATAGGAGTTACAAAAACATGTTAACTACAGGCTCACAATGGGTGCTCAAGAATTAGTACAAGCAGCAAGGGGCAAGTTGATTGGACGAGTTTGGGTAGGTAAATCAGAAAATCCTGAAGAAACGGATGAGAAATTCTCACCTATGGCATCGGTTGATGATATCAGTGTTCTAGTGGTACCATTATATCCCTATTTGTGTGAACATAAGCAATGGTTGAAAACAACACATCAAGAAAGAAGATATTCTATGGATTCATTACACATATCAGTTAATAATTTAATTTAATTATAATTATGTATAATAGATAATGAAAACTGTAAGAACTAAATATTTTACACTTTAGTAGGAAACTTACAGCTGAGATCGAGTGTATATTCGCAAGTTAACGTGATAATGAATCACAGAAACATAATTGCTTTTACATCGCTTTTAACAAATAGTATTTATATGTATATTATAATTTTAATTCAATGGATTTTTTTTGGAGTGATAGTCTATTATATACTGCTACTTTTTAAAAGTGTGGTTAAAAAATGCCATTATTATTTAACAGAACATTCCAATTTTAAAGTGTTTAATATAATATAAGTAACTTAATTTTAAATGTTATGCAGCATCCAAAGTAGACGTAAAGTCTGTTTAATTTCTTACAATATATACATAATTTTGAATGCATTACAAAGAACAGTAAGGAAACAGAAGTAGCAAGAATTTGTACAAAATTAATCTTACTACAAATACATATTGCATCTAGTTCAATGATTGATCCATTCAAGCCACTAAAAACAAAAACTATAAATAAAATGTGCATTGCTTTATTTGCAAGAATAAATAAAGAAATGTACGTTTCATTATACCTTTATACAATTTAATTTCTTTCTGGTGTAATCAGTGTAATTGAAAAATGAAATAAATGTAATATTGCATTCATTTAAGGTATTTTTAACTCATTTCAAACCAACCTTATTTCAGATTGGTAAAACAATCTAATACAATTGTAACAAAATGATGAAAGTGTTATTTAGAAGAAAAATATATTCTATTACGAACGTTGAAAGTTTACTTGACAGGAAAAATATTTCTGCCACTCTTCGTTCACTACATCGCATACACAAACGCATACACACACATATATACATACACTTCATATTAATTAGACAACAATTAGATAAAATTATAATACTATCTCAATTTGTCCGTTTTTCTCAAACGCTCGTGGGAAACAACGGAACCTTGTTCCGTTACAGTTTGCAGTTTGAACTATTCCAGTTCTGCGCATGCGCCGCGTCTATTTCAAGTTGCGTTACTTTCAAATTAGAAATAACGTGCATTTCTCAATTTCGTATATCGTCGAACTATAACGTGAAATATTTACAAGTGTATTTACAATATTTACAAATATTTACTGTGAAATATTTAAGAGCAAACTGTTTATAAGACATGTATAACTTAACTATTTAAAAGACTTGTTATAAATCTACATATACCCATATTACTTTATAAAATCAAGTAACTCTAATATTTCCCAAATTTCATCTTCCTACAAAATACTTAATAAATCAAAGTTTTTAGCGCATCTTCTCAAATAGCCGTTTATTATTAGATATTTACTAAAGCAATGCACACAAATTAGTATGAACAAAATTGTACTCCTTTTAAATTAATAAAATAAAAAGATAAAATTGTCTGTTCTAACTTAATTTATTATTTTACGTTCATTATTTATATTGCAAGTGAAAGCTCTAATTATTAATTTCGTCCATATGAATTTATTGGAAAAGTATTAGCCATTTACATGGTCATATACTTGTTTATTTAATTTGATCTTTGTGGTATTGTAATTGATGATCTCCATCCTTAGATAAACATTGTATATATATTCCAATCGACATTGTATTTTAGTAATTTCTTTATTTTATACATTGAATACCTATTTTGAAGGTCTCTGACCATCTCAGATCGTCATCTTCTTCCGAAGAGGATCATATGTACTCTTCTCTTATGATCCTGGAATGAACAGTTTATGTGTAGTTATAAAACGTCACAAAACGTCAGTATAATTAATTCTAACAAAACGGAAAGTAATACATTTTCAAAGAATGTGGACAGACAAGGAGAATAGATTTGAAAGGATTAAAATATAGTTTGCGAGAAACTCAGATCATTCGTGAATCGTCGAAAGATTTCATACAACTTTATTTTAAATAATGCAGATGTGTGTGCACATGGCACACGTACGCACAATGTCTAGCGCCATAATAACGTCAAATGGATTTTAATGCGTCATCAATGCCGTTCCATACCAGCAGCGACAATATAAAAGGGCACAAAGATAAAAAGCGTCGCGAATCACCGTAGGTAAGTGCTCTCCTTCACGCGGAAGTACGCGCGCTGCCTGCGGAAGCTAAAGCCACTGTGACAGCTCCCTGTTGACCTCGGCGTCGTCCGATTTTAAAAAGCCACCGCGGCTTGAACTGACAGCTTTCCGAACTCTTCCTCCCCGTAAGCCATCAAAATTTTCATCGCTGTGAAAATATCATTTCTACCTATCCCAGCTTAGCCAACGAATTATACATGGCTGAAAGTCGCGTTATCGTTAAACAATTACCCTTTCAAGAGTTGAGATTGTACTTCAAGAATTAAAGGATTATACACCAATGAAAGTGTCACTTTCCATTTCACGGGACATTTAATGTAGACATAGATAGAATTTTCAATTTTTTGAAATAATGAGATATTTTGCTAGTTTTTATTAGAATGTCGGTATATGAAGAGAACGGCGAAAATGTTGTGAACATTTTTAAGTCGTTTAAGCAAGCATTTATCTTCTGTTATTGAAATTAACAATTTTCTTTGACAGGACGGTACATGAAGATAAAAAAAGGTATACAAAAATAAAGATACAAATGGAAGTAATAAACAGAATTCAAGAATAAATTACAGAAACTAATATATATATGAAAGTGCATACGTGAAATATCTCTGTGAATGAATAATAACAAATTTTCTCCTTGAAACAAAAATTTCTTGTCTAATTTGAGCAAGAATAAATAAAGTATAGTATGTAACACGCCCCATTGTTTCATTTTTATAAACCACGTCATTTACAAGAAATAACTTCCTTTAAAACATTCTATTTATGCACTTTCTTTCATACAATTTTTTATTTACGATCTTCTTTCAATTTTCTCGTATATATTTATATTCTTTATTTCTTATTCTGTATTTTATAAGCATTTTTAATGCTAACAAATTGGACATCATTTTCTCCCCTATCTCCAGGAATGTTTTCAGTTACATAGTTTTAACATAGTGCAGAATAAAATAATTCCACAAATACTTTTAGAAACGTTCTGCGTAAGATGTATTCAATCCTTCGTAAATGGCAACAAAAAGGTTATGCGTTTGGTTGTAATCCGCACGAATAGTTTACTTTATCACGGGAAAATTGATGGTGTTACAGAATTTGACCGACATAATTTACGTCTACCTTTTTGATCGAGAAAACGAGTATGCGTTACTTTTTTAGCAAATGTCAGACCGCAAGATACGTTTTTCGTGGCGGGCGAGTTATGACAGGCTATCTGTCACGGTCATCATCGATGGTAACTCCGTGGATACCAAGGGACGCAATGCTTCTCTCGGCGAGGGGTGGCGAAAAGAAAAGATAAAGGAGAGAAAGCGAGAAAGAACGAGTAACTTACGGTGTATCGGAATGGCCGCAAGTTAGGGGTCTGGTACCACCTCGATACATCATCGTTAGAGAACTTTGGACGGCTTCCCGGTTACGCCATTGATGGCTTCCTCCGATAGGACATGATGTATCTGCCTCGCATTGCTGCAACGTGGAAGTAGCAGCCGGATGCAATTTGAAAGTAAAAATACAAATTAAGTGGTAGTAAAACATTTGTCGGCGGTCGTGTTTGTATATCAATCATGTTTCTCCATACCACGCGGCGTTCAATCTGTCCTTTACATGGGCTGACGCATAAATTATCAGTTAATTCGATCGCATTACATACAATTAACGAGATTCAAAACATGTGTAACTTGAATATATTAGAAATTCCTTTCACCGACATCGTTGAAACTTATAAAGAAAAAGCTAGACATAACACTTTGAGTATGATCAAGGACCAAGGTGCCTTTAAAGGGATGAAATACTTTCAATTATATTTCAATGACAGTAGCAGACCATGGTACTTTCGCAGTAAACATAAAAGAGAATTTATTGTCACAGTAAATCGTATCAGGTCTGGCCATTATAATCTTGCTGCCTTCTTGCTCGCATTAAGATAATAAGCGACCCTAAATGTAAATGCAGCTATGAAATCGAAGGCATCAATCATGTGATTTGGCAATGCAGGCTCTACGATAGCTCAAGGATCAAGCTAATTAAGAAGCTTCAAAAGAAGAAACAGTGTCTCTCACTTAATGTTGAATCGCTTGTCGCGAAACCTAATATTGCAGCTTGTCTATGTATTTTTGATTTCTTAAGAGAATGTAAACTGCGGATATAATGTACACGTAAACTGTATTATACATACTACTGTATATATGAACCTTATCTGAGGTTCTTAAATAATAAAAAAGAAAAAGTTCTAGAACTTTTACAATAGGTTCCGTTGAAACAGTTGAAATGGAATTTTGATAATAATAGTTTTGATATAATATGTTCTGATGAAAAGAGATAAATAAGATAAATAAAAATTCATAATAATAATAAATTTATTTATTGTCGCATCAGCTTGTAAACCATTAGCGACCACTGTGAGTTACATTCTCCACATTTATATTCATACGCGTGTCATAAATAATTAACACGGGTAATGAATATTTGGATTCTCCTTCAAATTTATATTATTTTTATCTAATTTCGGACAATACACTATACAATAATACTGTTAAAATAAAATACATAATCTAAATTAAAATTTTGTACTCTTTCTCCAGCGGTAAAAATGTAAAAGATATAATTGCTGCAGACGGATTCAACATTTTCGGTTGTTATGCTTTGTTCTGTTATCAGTGTTGTATATGTTATGTTTATTAATAATTTGGTACATGGTTATTGCGGCGGGGGAACAGTAGAAATAAAGTTATTTCGAAAATAGAGGCAAATAAGGCATCGAACATACTTGTCCATTGTGGAAGTGTATTTTTGTTAACATGGAGATGTATGTATTCGAGATATTTTAAGTAATGATGTTAAAGGTAGCGCATGGAGAGTGAGAGCATAGGTATACATTTTATTTGAGAGAAGAACTTTCAGCTTGTGCAAGTGCGTCGGAAACGTAGGTTTTCGGCGGCCTTGTAAGCCATACGGATAAGGACATCAGTCCTTAGGCCAGAATAAACCTCGATAGGGTCGCAAAATGCGCCCGGTTATGCAGGTAAACGAGGACCGGTCGACCCTATGGTCGATCCGGGGCCGTCAAGCTACCCCACGCAAGCATGAAAGTTCGCGCCTTTAGAAATTTTGCCAAAAAGGAGAGGGTATAAGGGAGAGGGGATAAGTCCGAGGTATTTTTGCCGGGTTGATCGAGACGAGGCCCAGTTGCGCCCGAGCTCTTCAAGCGCTTACTTCATACGGTTTAATTAGTTCATAAACGATATACAAAACCAAATTTTGCCTTTTCCTTCTCCTTCGAACACTTCCTTTCGTTCTTGTGAGTTACAATAATGTACCGTAAGTGTTCTACGAGTTTCGTTTCGCATGATTTTCAAATATTCATAAAGGATTTCGAGTACCTCGATGTCTACAATTTTGCTAAGACTTCGAATTCCCATTTTGTACAACCGGTCTTGACTATAATTTGTTTGACACGTTTCTCAGTATACGAAGTCAACTTCGTCTCGTTAGTTGCTCAGGTGGCTCGTGCCTGTTGTCAACTCTCTTAGCGTCCCTGTACCTAATGTCCCTTAGCGGCAAACTAACGCCTAGTTGCCGAACATGATGCAACGGATAATGCGACAAGTTTGCTGCCGAGGGATTATGCGACTGACCAGTTACCTGCTCGAGTCCCCTCGTGCATTCTAGTCACCAATATTTTAGGTAAGACCCAAGTTATCCTTCTCTGGCCTAATATTAATTGATTAAAACTTGCTAGTGTAACCAATTTATATTAAAAATAAAGCAAAATGTTAGACAGTGTTAAAAAAAGCACGTTTACTTATAAAAGTACGTAAAAATATTGTCGAAACACTTATATAATTGATATAAGTTAGGATGTATGATTTCACGTTTAGATTGTAACTTCTTTTACAGGGATTTATATTTGTTACACGTATCATCTTCTGGAAGCTTTGGTGCATATATGAGTATTAGGCAGTGAATAAGCAATTTTATTACATACTTTATACATTTTTAATATACAAATTTATTGTTTAAGGATAATTAGTTCCTTACTTTAAAAACATGAAAAAATATTAGTTAATTTTAAGTAAGTAGACATTATATACCCTTAACAATGAAGATGCTCGTTTAAGACTGCCGAATAGTTTTCCTAATTTTTAAATTCACAATCTTTATTGACTTTATATAAAAAATATTTAGGAGATGATACGTCTATAAATAATTGATCCGTGTAAAAAAAAGTTTTAATCTAATCGTGATATCACTTCACGACATGTAACAATTACACAAATGTTTCACCATCGCCGCGCTGTAAGAAAAGTTAGAGTCATAGTGGTAATCGATCGATCAAAGTAAATTACTGGTAGCGATGTTTGTGTCATCGTCGTCGTGAAAAAAGCTCGAGAAACATGGTGGAAATCGATTGATTAGGGAAAATTACTGCCACTGATTTTTCTCCATCTTCTGCGATAACGACCAAGGAAAAGGAACAACAAACGATTGGAACTTGATCGATTAAAAATACTGCGACATGAAAAGGGAATAAGGTGGGACGGAAAGAGTCAGGTTCTTTCCTTCCTTTCTTCCTTCTTGTCTCTCCCGGTTCGCGAACTTTTTCCTACCATTAATTATTTTTTTCCTACGGAGATAATGGTGGCCCGTTACAACGTCTGCAGATTATAAAACGACTCAGGAGCGGGCAGCGTGGGTTTTCTCAAAAATTTGTATCCACGGGGAGCGGAAAGGTAGGAACGATTACCCGCATGTCGACCCACATGCATGCACGTACACCTATCAGGAACTAGATGGTGGAACTAAATTAAGTTTTTTTTATCCCCCGTCCACCCTTTGCACAATGTCACGGAAATAGGCTTCTGCCGGCTCTTTGAGAACCATTCTCATTTTCCGTCGCAAAACTCGTTGGTAAACGAATGTTCGCGACAAGCGAAAGAATTGACGTAAATGGAAGACATATTTTCAATGAAACGCTGAAAGAGCTACGGATTCTAATGCGATGCAAGAGTCCTGTTAGTCCCTAGGTTGAAGCAGGACTTGATCGTTTTCGTGCGCAATCTAGGGAACGGGTAGACACTTCTTTTTGCTATAGACAAGTCACTTCTGATTTAATTATAAAAGTACGTTGAATCAACTTGATTTTTTACATATATTTTTATTTAACAGTTGTAAATCACGTGTAAAGTATCTCATACTGGTCGCTATTCTCATAATTTATTATGACTCGCGACAGATGTACAAAATCAGTTTTCAATATCTTAAAATCTGTCTTAATATCTTTAAAACAATTTCATTTATTGATAAAACTATTCTTATAAAAAACATAATATTTAATACTTTCGTTGTATCAATCAATAGTTGAGATGTAACATTACGAAAAACTTCAATCTTGTGTTCGGTCTAACGTCTTTATAACTCCAACATTTAACATTTATTGTAGTACTTATTTTTAATTATTCTAATTCCTTTGTAAAAAGTTCTGTCACCAATACGTGGATGACGTGGTGGTCAATTTGTTAATGTTTATTTTCATTTACTTCGTCACTGTTGGAAGATGTTTATTATTAGCTAAAGTAGATATTAAATGGTTGAGGTGTTTCGGATGCCAGATTGTAATGGATCGTTTATCTTTCACGTTGAACGGAACAAATTACCACAAAAAAAACAAATAAACGGAGTATGAAAAAGTGTATGAATGCTTGGCTTTGAAAACGATTCCCTTTGTCTTCCTTTGCCGCAGTACCTCTATTTTGGCGCTGACCTGTATGAACTCAATAATCACAATGTGTCAGAAGAATATCATGTATATATTGTTTGTTATATATCAAATAAATATCATGAGATGGTTAATTTATTTCATAAAAGCTTTGAACCTTATTTTGTGTCCTATTCGGAATACGAACAATAGTGATAAACACTTAGAAAAATTTGAATGTGTAAACAATTTTAAACAATTTTTAGTGTACATCTATTTACCCATGTTTTACTGCCATACTTTTATGTATTTTTATACTAAAATAGAACTCAACCGAAGTTCTAAATATGTATTAAATAAATACAGTATACTTATCTAAATTAAAGATACAATAGTATTTCTGACTGATCAAAAGAGATGTCTTTAATAAAAAAAAAATATTACGTTGAATATTATCAAAAAGAGATTACAAGATTTTGATACACTATTTCACATATGTGTGTGTATTCCTTTGTTTACTTTCAGAGTATGTTTATCGCTTATATACTTCCTGTTAGAAGAATCTTTACGGACGAACTTGTAACTTTTATCTGCAATAAAAACTTTACATGAGTACCACTAGTACTCATTACTAATATTTCTACTTCTCTTTTTATGATATAACGTATCTTATATTACGTAATCTAATCTACTACGTGTTTTCTTATAGACGATATGACAAATTGCTATTTTTAATTTTCATACAAGGTATTAATTTTATGATTTGTTAATAGTCATTCGATTCCAAGCTATCATCTGGACTTATCTACATTTTTCACTAGTCTATTTTGTTAACCATTTTAAATTAATTTTTATAAGTTGACACATTAAATTTACATTTCTAAAATAGGAAATAACCAATCAATTTGGGAAATATTAGAAGGAGAAATCTATTACGATAGAAACACTATTTATTTAACTATTTTGTGACAATTAAATTTTCAACTAGCAATTGATTATACTTTGTATTATTTAAAGTTGTGTTGAAAGGGTCACTCATTAAATAATTACTCAACTATATTGCCGTACAATATTATTAGACAAGGTCACACTTTGGCGTCAACTTACATTTCATAGTATAAAATGAGCAAACGGAACAACTAATCTTTTAATTCAAACCAGTAGTATTCTACGCTTGTAATATTGAAAAAAAAAAACACACAAAAGGTTACACCTAATTTTTCAGTTAATTCTACATACTAACAGAAGCAAACGAAACAACTAATCTCCAAGTTCACAGCAGTAGTATTCTATGCTTACGAATATTATCTAATTATAAGATCACAGAACGTAACTGTTCCGGCACCAATTAATCTCTACTTTTCCAATCAATTTTTTACTTATGCTATTATAAAATCCTGATTTTTTTCGTACAGAGAATTTTTTTCTCATCGAGTGACACTTCGAGGGAATGTTACCTATCACTTTTTGCGCATTAATGCACTTTTCGAGGAGGGCCCTGGCCGATGTGTGCGTGCACGCCTTCAGAGGCTCGCGCTTCGACGGGAACGGTTATCCAATATCAAATTAGCGTACGTCAGGGCAAGTTCTTCCGTGGCGTATGCTCGTGCTCTGTGCACCAATAACTCCATTTTCGCTGACATAACTTGTAATCGTATAATCTGCCGGGCAGTCTGCCCAGAACGAACCTGCCCCGTTCTTCTCCGATCACGGAGAATGAGAAACGTCCGCTTTATATACCGACGCCGATCGTTTAGCCGCAAGTGATCTAAATCAAATTTCCGTTAACGTTGAAGGACGCTTTCTCGTTAATCCGTCGAATCGAACGTTTCTCGCGAGATCTTCATTAGATTATCTTCATTTCCCGCTATACTTACCCGCTAAATAAAAATGTTCCCGCACGACAAAATGATCGGAGATAACAACTGACTCACGACCTTATTAGGCACGACCTTTTTGCACTGATAAGACTCCCATTGATAACGAATTATATTGTATCACCGACGAGATACACGATAAACATTGGATGCAAGTTTGCATTTTACGAGCTGGAAGCATTTTTTTCGATCTCGAGAAAAATCTGTGTTTAAGGATCGGTGGCTCTGAGAGTTATATTCAAACAATTCATCGATTTCGGTGAACGTAGGACATGTAAACAACTTGTAGATATCAGGGAATATTCTAATAATAATTTCTATCCATTACCTCAGCTGACGTAAGGATAGATGGGACTTGGATCATTAGAGAGATGTTAGACGATATGGAATGTGGAATATTCTAAGAAGAAGCTAGAGAACATGAAAATGACAATATTTATAGAGGCGCAGCTTCCCTGGCACAAGTTTTTACATGCGATTATTGTTCATTTATCGGTACATGGCGTTGAAAAACTTAAAAAAATTGCAATGGAAAGAGGATCATTTTATCTGAATATAGATTAATTCTACGGAAACTGATAAAGCACGAAATACGAAATAAAGTTTTAAATGTAACAAACACTCTGTAATAACGAATACAATATTGTAACGCGTAAGAATGTATGGAACTTTGATTTTTTAACGAACTGGAGAGGAGAAAAATACAAAAACAGAGTAAAATTGGAATTTTTGTACCTTTAGTCAATTGTTCCCAACTCCGGTATTTATCCATAGATTTTCCTCAACACAAGCTTGTTTTCTTCGTAAAAGAGCGATCTATACGTAAACAATAAAAAAACTGGACATAATTTAACAGTTTCTATTTTTGCATGACGATGGAAGAAATTGTTGTGTTCGATTTTAGCCGAAAAAATCGAAATTTCTCATATTTTTTGGCCCGTGACACTTAAACTATTGAACCGATTGGAAAACAATGTGAAAAACAATTTTTGGAAAATCGACTACCTTTTTTTATATGGCATCTTGCGCGACCCAATCGGACGTTTCTAACTAGAGATATATGGCCTAAAATGTGAAGGTATCTCGAAAAAAAATCGAAAAATAATTCAAAAATTTATATAAAAAAAACCTATCTATAGAAAAATTTTTCATTGCAGTTTTCGAGTTTAGCAAACCAAAATACATAAGAAGAAAATTGTGCCATTGAATGTACATTTTTCTTTTTATTTTGTAAACATTGTCGTAGATAAATTTTAGTTAAAATAAATGTGTTATTTCTCCTTCACTTAATATGTATCCATAGCAAAATAATTTTTGTTCTCTGTTTACAAGAGGTCAGGTCTAAAGAGGTTCAAACGGAGCCAACTGGAGTGCCTCAAATTCAATAAGCCTCGCGAGAGCGAGAGCCATTTTCTAATATTTGTCGATTATAATTTTTTGTTTAATACTTAAATATATGCTGAATCACTTCCTCGAATTTTATTAATCTATTACCATTTCTTCCATCCAACCAAAATTGACAAAGAAACACCTTTTTTTGTTTAGTCTGTTACAGTGATGTCACCCCTTAATTGCATGTATGAACATCAAGAAGATAGTACGAATACACTATTCATTTGTTTACTACCAGAATATATTCTAAGCCAAACAGGATTTTTTTTTTTTTATTATTTAAGAACCTCAGATAAGGTTTATATATACAGTAGTATGTATAATACAGTTTACGTGTACATTATATCCGCAGTTTACATTCTTTTAAGAAATCAAAAATACATAGACAAGCTGCAATATTAGGTTTCGCGACAAGCGGTTCAACATTAAGTGAGAGACACTGTTTCTTCTTTTGAAGCTTCTTAATTAGCTTGATCCTTGAGCTATCGTAGAGCCTGCATTGCCAAATCACATGATTGATGCCTTCGATTTCATAGCTGCATTTACATTTAGGGTCGCTTATTATCTTAATGCGGGTAAGAGAGGCAGCAAGATTATAATGCCCAGATCCAATGCGATTTACTGTGACAATAAATTCTCTTTTATGTTTACTGCGAAATTGATAGCACTCGAAGGATGTTCTATAGCTCTGTTTTCATGCTTACCGTTAGAAATATTAATCTTATTTGATTCCGAATCAAAGAAGACTCTAGAGCCCTCGAGTAATCGGACAGAAAGCTGGATTGACTCTTCTGTACATGCTATATCTAGTCCGTGATTACGTAACGTGCTCCAAGGGCCAAGTACCAGGAGCTCCAGGGTAACCCTGAGTAGTTAAAGAAACAGCGAAATCATAATCGATCTCTTGTGGCGTGTAGTCGAGAAAGTTTCTTTTCATAGGGCACAATAATGCATACCCGTGAATTGTTCGCATGACCGATTCGGGGCACCGTTGCCGAGTAACAAATGGATAGGTGTTACCTAAGCTAGTTACGGATCCTTCGATAAACACAGACGGACAAACGTTTCCTAATTGTGCTGGGAATTGTTTACGCTACCTCGCAGCACCTTCCGGCCTTCCTGCGTTCATGGCTATTCCGTGTTTGCCTCCCCGTTTCTTGCTCGTCTCTGTCACGTCTTCCGGAAGAATGGACGGCGAGAATTTCGCAGGAGGATCAGCGACGGTGGATCTTAATTAAGTCGTTGGTGTCTAGCTCTCCTTGCAGAGGGAATCTTTTCCTTCGTTACGTCATGTTCTTCTAACGGACGAAAGATTCTGTTTGAAGTATTAATTTCTGCTAGCGACTCGATACTTGGAGAATCCTTTTCAATCGGACATTTTCATGGAACGTCTCGTAACTAATTTTTTAAATGTATCATTTCGGATTTAGTATAATTTCGCGTTAGTAAATATAGTTATAATTGCCTAGGAGGAGGTAACTCTTTCTTTTTCGATGGCTAATAAGATATCATTTATTTTCTCGCGTTAATAAGGGAGGAAGAGCTTTTACAAATATTCATAATCGAACAAAGAACTATATTAAGTTGTGTGGGACATTAGGCTCCTTATTAAATATAGGTCTTATACGAAGAGTCAATCGAAGAGCAATCGACCATTTTTTTTAATCTTATATGCACTAGCACCTTCGTCAGGGGGATGGTTTCATTTGAAGGGCTGGAGGAATCGATTTTTTCTTTTACCTGTACATATATATGTACAATACCATATAATTTTGAAATCGACTTAATAGTGGCTATTTCATGAAGGTCTAAAAAAGTGGCATTCCATTAATTAAAATATTAACGACTTTGAAATCTCATGAAAAAATGATCCTACAAAAAATAATGTCATATCATTATAAGTATCCTTTTTCCTCGAGTGAAAATGCATTACGCATACTCGTGTTCTCTGGGGGAACCCGGGTTATGTGGAGCTATCCTAAGGGAGCGGTCACCGATAGCTTATCGTCCGCATCCCAATTCCCAAGGTCTACCTACTAAAAACACGCGTTCGCCTAAGCTGCAAGGGAGGTGCCTGGATCCCTTAAAATAGTGCAACTTTGTCCTGAAGAGTGTATTCATAGGACTATAAATAACAGAGATATTCAAGGTGGACAAAATCATTGTCCTATCCTGTGTACTATTCTGAAATTTGGAATTTCAAATATGTGTTTCATATCTCAGAATTGTATTGACCAATAAAGATTAAATTTGACACGCATATGAACGAAGCGTTATGCTATAGACTCCACCAGATCACAAGCTACAGTAGTTTGTATCAAATGAAAAATGTATGAAGGAGTCAATGTTTCTTTTATCTAGATCTGTTATTTTATCAAATTCTATTCACATATATTATTTTAGGAGGGTTGATAACAGAATTCGTAAAAGTTCAGGTTTTCTTAGATTTTCCTGCTTCAAATGAATAGAAGAACGCGGATTGTAATAGCAACACGGTGAAATTAGTACGACATGGCGAAGACAATAGCTAATAATTTTACAGATACGCGAGATAATTTCACATAAATTTTCTTATAATGTCTTCAAAGACGAACGGACTTTCTCGATATCACTCAGGAGACAAAACATCAAACGAAAATACAATTGTAATCAAATCCCATATTTTTAAATCTCAGTCCTGAAATTTAGATGCATCCGTAAGGAATCCCCATTCGTCGTGCACGTTAAAAATAGAATAACTCTTCTGCATACAAACTTCCCAAAAATGCAATCACTGTGTTTGGCCCAGCCACATAACTTAACGGTGTCTTTCAATATGTCCATAGCGCAGGCGCCATTAATTTTGTGTTTGGCACTTGGCTATCGAGCTCCAACGATTCCCCTCATTTTTCTGTTTCTCGTTTAGCTCGTACCGTGTTTGGGGACCGTCGTCGCGACGATACGTCGATTTACTGCAGTTTTACTACTGCCGCGGCGCGGCTGGCTGTTTTAACGATGCATAAAGACGGCGGTGGGCAAGGAGACCGTTCAGAGCGACTGCACGATAGCCGCAAGATAGGATACACGACAGGTGAGACGTGTAACAAATCGAGACTGGCGTTTCCTCGAGAAAAAAACGAAATATCGGTCGTTTAACACTCTTCCCCCATTCGTGCTTCACCATGAGGCCGATACGCGACGAATTATTGCATCGGTGCCAATCTACGGGGATTACCCGCGAGAGGAAAAGGCCACCAGGACGTTGTTCGACGATTTTACAGCCGTACACATAGCCCCACTCTAAAAGCGCATCAACACCGTTTCAGCCTGAGCTTGGCGAGGATTAGCCAGGAACTTGCGACATCGAGAATTTCGATTTCACGGGTTCTTAGCGGCCTACCATAATTTGCGATTTTATTGCATTTGACGAGGGGAACGGTGGGGTATCGTCAACGAAAATGAAAAGACAGTCACGGGTCAATGGGTTCCTGGTATGCGATGGCTTGAACGACGTAGAGTTTTTTTCGTAAATCAACGAAAAAACACTTTGCTCAAAGTAGGAATTTCAGTTCTTTTATCCTTGCGTTATATATTATTTGGTACTAAGAAGGACGAGGGGAGGCAATTTCCGTTTCGTAGAGGCAAAATTATACTTGTTTGGATGTCTTCGTTACTACGAGGTTTATGAATCTTTATGACAAAGATTAATTATTTTAAGGGGTTAGTCGCAGTCAGGAAAATGGAAACGGACAGTTTCTTATGTGTTTTTTTTAAGGTGTTAAATAATAATTTTTCTAAATGAAATGTAAATATATTACAAAGTATGTCTTGAAGGACTATAAAAGAATTTTTGTTTTAAAAAAAGGTTAATTCATTTCGTCATAACAGCCGATGGCGTGGGTGGCCACTTGGTTTGCGGTGAGCAAGATTTCTTCAAACTGGTGGACCTGAAAACAAAACTAAAGGTAGATTTAGAAAATATATTAGACTAATAGGTCCCTGATCGAAGGACTTTTTATTTTCTTGTATACTTTTTTCTTTTATCCTGTATCGAATCGCTTAATTTTAGTGAAAAAGTTGAAAATCAACTTCAAATGTACGCCATTTTGTTTTCAATTAACTTTTTCAAAAATCCTTCGTTCAGGGACCCGCTAGACTAATATGTTTTTGAAATCTACTTTTGTTTTTGTTTTCAGGTAAACCAGTATAGAGAAATCTTGCTCACCGCAAACCTGTTTTTAAATCATCGTCTACGTCATCGGCTGTTATGACGATATAAATTAAACGTTTCTTAAAACAAAAAATGTTTTTTAGTTCTTTAAAACATGCTTTATAATATACTTAATTGTTACTTATGCAAATTATTATTTAATAACTAAACAAAAATCACAAAGAAATGTCGTTTTTCCTTTTCCTGACTGCGACTAACTCCTTAAGGAATGTGACTGAACTGTAACTGTTGACTTGAACTGTAACGATTTTATAATTAACTGACAATGACAATTCGAAAAGTGTCCTTTCTTTAATTTTGATGGGTATTTGCAGATTTGTAGGATGTCGAAAGGAATTAAATATAATTAAAGAAGTTAACATTAAGAAAATTAACGAGGCTACGAGGGAGGGCTTATGACAACTTCACCAAATCTACTAAACGTAACTTACAATTTAAGGCTTTATATTGCAATACATAATCTTACATTATAGGTCAATGAATTCGTCTCAACATCAGCATTTATAATATTGTTACGCTTTTGGGAAGTCGCTCTTTCTTGAAACATTATTTATTAAAAACCAACAACAGATTGTAATTAAGGATAATATAAATGCATCTATTAGAAATACCGTATGTATTCTTTGAAGTTCTAAGAACGTCTGACAAACAGTTTAATCGATATATTTTCTTGTTTTCAATAAATATTACATCTTGTTAGCAGACTATGATTTTTTCTATATGGTTGCTTGTAACAATATATAAGAAAAATCTCATTGTTCCATTTAAAAGAAATAGCGGTGAAAAATACACAAATACAACAAACGTAAACCAAGCAAGTTCCAGATTAATTTTCTCGAAAATAAAACAATACATATAAAAGTCTAATTTATATTTTTAACTTTTTTTTTAACACCAAACTTTCTGGCAGGTAATATTATCTATTGGAGAATATCGCGTATAAAACAGTAATCGTTATTCTACTCAACAAATATCACACCTTTGTTTATTATACTTTCAGTATTTCCTTGTTATTCTTAGTTATTAAAAGAAAACTGAACGCAGATAATAAAAATCCTTTATCGGAATATATTAAAGATAAAGTAACAAATAAAAAATACTCGATAAAAATTCGAGGTACTATAGTTGAACGTAATAATATTGGCGAATCCGTAAAACGATTCAAATGTCGGAATTGCGGTTGACGCGAGTAACTATTTAACCTTATCGTATCGCGACGAATGCAAATTACGGGTATAAACCTGCGTAACTGCTACATTGAACTCTGCAGGGATGAACATCATAAACCAAAACTATCGCAGATCAATGCGCCGGAGTTTCTCTTCATGCTGCATCATCAACGTACGATATTCATGATATCTCGTATCAAAGACGAAATAAACATATTGACCAGTGCTTGTTTAATCAGCAGCGTAACGATGATTCTCCGAAGTCATTTTCATGGATAATATCGATGGAGCAACATGAAAGTCCAGGTGTTTGCGCGCAATCATGAAGATATAACGTTACGTTCGATCGAAATGATTCTGGAAACAGCTCTAGATTATACTAATCTTGTATCAAGTGTATTTCACAGAAGACGGACTACATTCTCTTCGTTATCGTCTTTTTTCGCCAAGAGCCATGCTCCACAAACACCTTGCGTGTAAAGATACACTCAGACGTTACAGTGTGGATAATCGATAAAAATAACCATTTTAGTATTTACCTGCACAGCATGGATGATTAAAGCTTGATTCATACAATAGGTGTCGAATGGGAACACTATTCATCCATTTATTCTTGACTATTAACCTCTTGAGGTTAAATAAAATATATTCTGTAATTTTAACCTAACATACAAACAAAATAAACTACATGAAATTTAAAGTCTTTATGAGAACCTCGTGATTGGTTACGTTTGCAAAGTTTAATAATACTTTCAACAAAATATGAAGATGTAAACATCATAATTAAACTTTAATATTCATTCACAGCACTTTAAATGTATCAAATAATATATTTTTAATTAGCCCATGTTATGGGACCATCGCACCTCGAAATCAGATAATCAGATAATAGTTCACTTCAAGGTGTCAATCGCCCACCAGGGAACGATATCGCCTACATCAAAAACAATGATCCAGATTAAGGATCTATAGAATATAGATTTTGTGAAAAGTACATGTGTGGTTTACTGCTTAGATATTGTAGATAATTATTGATTCCTGACGGCCTTCTATGTAAATCGAGTCGTAGAATCTATAGTGCTCAGAGAAAAATCGAGTTTTTAAATTTGATTCATAATCATTTATCAAAGAAACAAAACTAAGAATAGTTCACTATGAAAGTTATAAGAACAACGTAAACATTTATTGGTTGTGTGAGAAAATTAAATAGGTATGGTTTATCTACATCCTTCGAGCAAAGTGTATTTTTATAATAGTGTGAAGTGTAAAAAAATCCAGGGATAAAGAAGCAACAAATACACTTATATGAATGATGTAATAATGATTAAGTAGTAATGATGTAATAATATATACAAAGGATAAGATATTGAATCTCGGAGATATAAGATATTGTTTAATGACTAATAGGTAGCATTGAGCAAAATAAAATACATCTTTCAGAGATTTATCTCTTATTATTTACATTGAATTTGTATTTAGATAAGAAATTTGCCAATATTTACTGCAACGACACCTTCATTTGACGCACTCAATTTTATCCGTGTAGCGAAAGTTTGGTATAATATGTTAATTCCCGAAAAGATGTGGTCGACTTCGAGTAATGGAAAAAACTAGTAGCTGTCGCTCCAACTCTTATCGGGACGGCTAGGAAGCTTCAAAACTGCAATGGAACTTTTCTGTTCGCCTAATTGTCCTAACGGGTGACCTCAACGCTCATTACTCTCTTACCTCATCTTTGGTCTCACACCCACATCATTCTGCCGTTATCCTCGTCGCAAAGCGATTAAGGGAGACATTTGATTCTATTCCGAGTCGAAACAGTCGATATTTTACCTTTTCTTTGTACATTTTCTATAAGCGCACGATGCCTAGAATCTGCACGTTAAATTGAAAAAAAATAATGTTTGTAATAGTATTCAATGAAACAGAACAACGTTGAGGTTTAAATGTATGATTTGGTCATATTATATGTAGACACTTCGGCCTTTGTGTTTTGAACTCTTCAGTATTTAATGTATAATACTAGGGTTTTAAACATATCTATTAATGTAATGTTAAAATATCCAATAAATAGTCATTGAAAAATATGAATATTTATTTCCGAGTAGAACATGTAAATATTACAATGCATTGATTTTGTTTACCAAAAGTATCTTTTAGAAAATGTATTCCATGGTAACTGATAGGTAACCGATCAATTTCCTTATTTTCTAGGTGGATACAGCATTACAAGAAATTAATTTTTGAAAAAAAAAAAAAATATTTTGCAAAACGAAAATACATGACGAATTGAGTAACCTCCTCCTTTTCGAAGTCAGTTAAAAATAGATCTTAATCACGATATACTCATTTACTTTAATATATCTCACTTTTTGTAACGATTGTGATAGAACAGAGGTTCCCAACGGGGTCGGTACCGCCCACCGGTGGACGTTGAAGAGATCTAAGGGGGCGCTTTTGGTCGAAGACTTTGAGGGGCGCTGAGAACCAACTGCCGCCCCCTGGGCAATACTCGCAAGAATGCGCCAAAAGTTTGATTAATGTGTACTAAAAATCTTCGAACGGATGTTTTAACAAATATCTTCAATGTTCAACAAATGTTGTAAATGTCAGTGTAATCAACAATTTAGCAACAAAGAAAAGAAACAGACAACAGAACAGAAACAGTCAATAGTGGAACGCGGCGATTTAAGATTGCTGATGACAAATCTGACACCAAATATCGAAAAATTATTGTCGTTACACCAAGCTCAGCCTTCTCACCAATAATATTATATTAATTTTTTTAATAATATATATTTGTTTATCAAATTTTAAAGAATACATCAACATGTTAAAATCTTTCAATAAAGTAATTTTAATAATAACCGGTCCTTGTTTTTAAATATATGTATAATGTAGTAGTA